ATTTAGTTGATATTCTGTCATATTTAACATTTATATATATATATGTGTGTGTGTGTGTGTATATATATATATATATTTAACATATAAACCATCCAGCCAGAATCCCCAGTGGAAGTTTTCCCTGTTCTGACAGGTTTAAGTGTCTATCACCCACTGGGCTGACAGCGTCTCAAGGCTTAGACAGGGACCACCTCCCTCAGCACCCCACACATGAATATCACCACTGCAAACCCACTCAGGTTTTCTCCAAAGTTTTGACACATGTTGAGGTGGTTTTATTTGAAAATTTGGGAGAGACTCTTTGGCAGTAGAGGAATATATTCAATCTCGTTTGAGACTAATCCAAAACCTCCCAGTCAGAGGCTGGTAGTCATTCTAATGTTCCCAGAAGGTATCTCACGTCATCAAAGGTGTGATCTACATCAGTGGTTCTCAAAATGTGTTCCAAACTAGTTGAATCAGCATCACCTGAAAACATGTTAGAAATGCAAATTCTTGGTCTGCATCCCAGATCTACTAAATCTGTGCCTCTGGAAATAGGGTCCAGCAATCTATTTTAACAAGCCTTGAGAACCACTGTTCTAGATGTTCCCTCTGGTTTCCCGGATTTTAACTGGAGATGTGAAAACCAAATTAGCTCCCACAATTTTCTAAGGAGGTCATTACTTACATGAAACCATAGACAGCAGGGATGAAATCCCAGGAGCTGAGAAGGAAGAACGACAGGCAAATGATTACTACCAGACTTCCCATATACATCATGGCATACTCCCAAGAGAAGATCCAGAAGGCTTTGCTCTTGACTTTCACTGGTATGTACTGCCGCTAAGAGAGAAGGCAAAGTAGAATATTTAGGGTCTTCACAGATGCAAAGCAGTAATCAGCTCAAATTTCAAGAACCCTCCTACAAAAACATACCATGGTTTTGACTCACAGCCTTACAATTTTGCTGAGGTCTCTATTTTTTTTTTTTTTTTTAAGGTTTTCATTGTGGATTGAGTGAAA